GTCTGTGGACCTTCTTCTGGCTCGAGGGGCTGAGAGAAGGGCTAAGACAGGGCCATCATGGGACAGAGGGGGAACAGATGGCAGAGTTGGTAAATAACCCCATAGGCAGAGTAAACAATTACTCTTTGTAGTGTGACATATTTCAACAGACCCATCATAAGGCTGTGGTAAACAGAAACATAATATTTGCTCAAAATGAGAAATTATTACAAAAAAAAAAAAACCTACCCTAAATAAGCCCTCTGTCTCTCTTTGCTTTTAGTCAACTTAAAAATCACTAATGTGGAGGCCCCACAGCAGGACAATACTACCTTCGCACCAGCTTTGCTGTGGGCTGACCTGTGGGTTGTAATGGTTGCCTGGGTTCCATCCTGCAACCTGAGGCTGCTTTCACTGAGAGCTCCAACCCTTGCTTGGGCCTACGATGTCTGACGGGTGAGTAGAATGGGGTAAGGGCGAGGCACCTCTGTCTTCCACTGTCTGCCCCTTTGCTGTCTAACCCTTGAATCAGACTCTACCCAGCCCTGCACACAGAAGTATTGCTCATCTAGTGTGTAGTCCAAGACAATAATCCAGGGAGAGCTTGGTCATTGCCCATTGGAGCTGGAATGTGTTTTCTTCCTCTTCCTCTTTTCCCTCTTTTCTATCCCTACTTGTTCTCTAGAAGCCAAAAAAGGCCAAGCACCTGAAGTCCACAAGGCCGGGACACTTTGTGCAGGATGACAGTGCCAGGTACAAGGTATGATAAAAATATATGGTGAATGTTTAAGTTTTTAAAAATACATCACAGGAAAAGACACATTGCCAAGACTGCAGAGATAAGCATGCTTGATGTGAGGGGTATTTTAAGGAGGATTCATAGTGATATCTCTTTCACTATAAATTTTTAAATTTAAACATTCACCATATTTTTGATCATCCCTCATTGATCAACAATTTATAGTAATTTCTATCAAATAAAACATTACAGTGAGAAAAGAACCATTATGCTGTGTCCTCATCCACCTTAGTCACCGGATCTGGCACTGTGCGACTTCCGGCTCTTCCCACAGTCAGTCTGACCGGGAGAGGGCGACGTTCTGAATCCACTCAGGACATCGAGGAGCCAGGACAGTGCAGCTCAAGATGCTCAGGACAGAGGGCTCCAGAGCTGCTGCAGGAAGGGGCACGGAGGATGGTGGGATAAGCGTATGTGAAGTAAGGGCCTCGTTTGAGGGGATTCCAGGGATGTGCCTTTTCTGGTAATAAAATTTTTTTTTCTCGTTTTTTTGTTTTGTTTTGTTTTGTTGTCTTTTTTTCTGGTACCGGGGATCGAACTCAGGTCTTTGTGCTTGCGCAGCAGGCAGCGAAACCACTGAGCTAAATCCCTGGCCCTGGTAATAAAATTTTTTTTAAGTTTAAATAGTTGCTTTATGTTTTGTACACAGCAGCCCAACAGCCTTACGAACGAGTTGACTGTGACCATTGGGTGGTCCAAGTCTCTCACAGAAGCACCTTTCGGAACCATGCTCCCAGCCAATGGAAATCATCAACGCAGACCCCCTGCTTTCTGTTCGAGGGCAGCACGCTCCCTCTCTCAACCCATGCTGTACCCCAGCCGAAGCCCAGGGGGACTGGAGGGGACCCCGCCCCACAGAGCTCTGTCAGTGCACAGGTGTGTATATTGTTTCTAGTCTCTGGGTCCAAAGATCCCGTAGCCTGGCATTGGCCTCTCTGAGCTCAGAGGACTTGGACACCCGGCCTGCACGTGGCCGATCTGGGCAGAAATGGGGTCGCCTACGGCTTGGTGTCCTGCCCAGCGCTAAGCAGGGCAGCAGGTCCCTCTCTCCCTCAGCTACCAGGAAAGTAAGAAAGCGGGGAGGGAAAGGCTCAGGCAGGAGCTCCCGTGGCCACAGCCACTGTCCTTTCTTCATCGGCCCCACCCGAAGGCTCCACCAGCTGCCACCTCACCGGGGTCTCGTTTTTCCAGTGGCCCAGCTGGTCCAGGCAGTGACACCAGGAAGAGGAAGTTGGCACGGGGAGACCGGGTTCTTCTTGGTAGCCACAGAGGGTGAGGCTTGTGGAAACCTCCAGGCCCCGTGCCAACTGCCAGCATCTGGCCCAGATGTGGTAACATCAAAGCCCTCTCCCTGGGGCCAGCTCATTCATGCTTCGAGATTGCTTTCTTCAGAGCTACACGCAGCCATGGGCGGATACTTGACACGTCAGTCTGCGTGTGCCGACCCATCCCTTGGCCTGCCATGTCACCTTCTCTTATACAACCTCTTCCTGATCCACCATTGTAACATGTGTACTCTGGTTTTCGTTTTTCCATTTAAGCTTCCTTGTTTGAGTGTAAATACTTTCCGCACAAGTGACAGCACTTGCCATTAGCCAGGGAAACAACGTCTTCAATGCCTTATCACGGCCCCGGGCAGTTACGTGGGAGGTTCTACAATGTTCTCTTACCCCCCAGAGCAGCTGAGGCCTCACCCTGAGCACAGGATTGTTCGTGCTGACTTCTTTTAGGTCTCCCTGGCTTGGGAGCAGGGCCCTGCACCATCCTGGGCAGTGATGTTGACCTGGGCTGGTGCCTCCCTCCAGGCAAATTACAGTGGCGGGAGAAGGCTTGTTTCCAGCCCCAGTGTGGGAGTGTCACTGAGGACTGAGGCAGGACTGCTGGATGCAGCGGGTGGCCCATCTTCACTCCAACCACCCGCTAGGTCTTCAGTACCTCTGGCCACAGTCCCTGCTGCAGGCTGAGGAGCAGCCCTTCCAGGATGTTCCAGTACCTTCCAGAAGCTGCCATGGTTCTGAGCGGATTGCTCTGCACCAGGGAGCCCTGTGATCTGCTTTCCGGAGGAAAGGCAGACACACACTGCACAGTCTCCTGGGCACGCTGCACGTGTCCTTGGCGCTCTATGGAGGGCCTGGGGATGCCGAGGCTGGGCCTCCTGGCCTCCAGCCACTTTCTGCTAAGATGTCCCTGCTGGTCCTTTGGGACACTACTGTCCCACGCTGCAGGTGGCATCTGCCAGCCTGAGTCTGGTCAGTTGGAGCACCCTCCTCCCCTGGACCCCATGGCTGGTTTCAGGGTAGGCACTGCCAAGCAGTGGGGGCCTGGATATTGCACCAACTCTGAGATGCTGTGGGTCACACAATGTGCCAGCTTCCTAATCCCTTCTAGAAAGGGAAAAACATTTGTCTCGAGGAATCCCCAGACTGATTTCCATAGCGGTTGCACTAGTTTTTATAGGGGTTAATTAACAGTGTAGAGGGGTTCCTTTCCCCTGAAGCCTCTCCAGCATTTGTTATTATCTGATTTCTTGATGATGGCCATTCTGGGGCAAGATGGAGTCTCTGTGTTGTTTTGATTTACATCTCTGTACTGGCCAGAGGTGTTGAACAAACATTTCTTTGTGTATTCCCCTTCTAGGTATCTTCCTGAAGGAGATAAAGACATCCTATTACAGTGATCCATGCATACCCATGTTTATAGCAGCACAACTCATAATCACTAAATCTTGGAAGCTGCTTCTATGTTCATCACCAGATGAATGGAAAGTGAATGTGGTCTTTACACGCCATGGAATATTACTCTGCCATAAAGAAGGATACACTTGAGTCATTTGTTAGAAAATGGATGTACCTTGAGACCATAATGGTAAGTAAAGTAAATCAGACCTACAAGCTGAACTATCGTGTGGATTCTCTTCTATGTGGTGTAAGACCCTGCTACTCTGCAGTGTGTAAACACCACAATTCCTTTATCCACTCATCTGGTGATGAACACCCGGGCCACTCCCATGCTGTAGCTATTGTAAGTTGTGCTGCTACAGACACGAGTGTGCTCGGGTCACTGTCCGAGCCAACCTGAGGCTTTAAGAGGCAACCTGAGGCTTTAAAGCCCAGCCAGTGTGGGGCGAGCTTGGGCCAGGGACTGCGTCCGAATGCCTGCTCCCGGCCCACAGCTGCACCAAAGGGAGGGCCCTTCTTCCAGAGCGTACTTCAGGGAGACCCCATGCCAGCCAGAACCTCCTGATGGCTGCAGAACAGTCCTGGAAACGGGACCAGAAGGGCTGCATCAGTCACAGCCGGGTGGCCACTTCTGCCTTCGGGTGTGGCTCCTGGTGTCTCTGAGGGCTGTGCTGACCAGTTATAGTGGGGCTGCCCACAGTTCTCCACTAACTGGCCACAGGGAGCTGGGCCCAGGAAGAGAATGATCTGGGGCCTGGGTTTTCCATGCGGGCAGCAGAGGTCAGGCCTGGGTCAGGGCAGACTGGGCGGGGCCCAAACTGGACCTCCTGGGAGGGCTGGGGCTGGAGGGCACGCCCATTTTATCTCAGAGCCTGGGACCTGGGGAGGGCGGGACCTGGGGAGGGCGGGACCTGGGGAGGGCGGGACCTGGGGAGGGCGGGACCTGGGGAGGGCGGGACCTGGGGAGGGCGCGTCCTGGAGGCACCAGAGCTACTGCTGAGTCTCGAACTCAAAGGTCTTCCATTCCAGGAACAAAGGGGTGCTTTTCCCCAGGGGACCTTGTAAGTTACTCAGCCTCCATCTGGAAGCCACTGCGGTCGGGGATGGGGCAGAGGGAGAGGGAGGAAAGGAGAGGGGACGTGAACACCGTCACAAACACATCATTACAGTTTCAGGACAGGAAGGGAAATAAGAGGAAAGTGAACCTGTAATCCCTGCACTCAGGAGGCTGGGGCTGAGTTCAAGGCCAGCCTGTGCTATATGAGTTCAATGCAGCCTGAATTACAGAGCAAGACTGTCTCTAAAACATAACACACATGCACACACACAGATACAAGAGGGAAGCAAACCCAAGTAGCAATCATAGTAAGAAAAAATTTCCAGGCCTCAATTCCTGCCTGGCATGTGCGTAGGGCCGGGCACAGCAGGGCACGGAGGCCATACTCTGGCACGTAGGAACAACAGGCTCAGACCTCTGGTTTTCAGGAAATTAGATGATTTAGGAAAAAAACAGTAACAACAAAAACAAGAATCAGTAGTCTTCCTGACAGTTGACGGATACTTTGCTTTATTGACATCAAACAGACTCCTCTGGTGTTGAGTCTGAAACAACTAGATCCTACATCATCAAAGCACGTCAGGCCTATTAAAACATAGCCAGTTCCGAGGTCCAGGCATTTCCTGTCACGGAAGGGCATCCTGCCCACCGACCCACATTCACATACATGGTATATCACTATCTGCTTGGTGCCATGCGCACTGTGGTCTCATCCACTCACCAGGCATGGCGGGCGGCTCCTGCCCAGAGCTCCCCCCAGGGCTGCACCCCAAGCGCATCAGAGATGCCCAGCCACACCCCAGGCAGAGCCACCACCTCCCCAGAGCCCGTGAGATACCTGCCCTCCTGCAACACTGTTTTTAGTCCAAAACGGAAGGTATAAAGTGAAAAATTCAAAATGGTTTTATACAGGCGGCTCTGGAGTTCAAAGAACATTTGGGCAACATGGAACAAGTAAGAGCCCAGGGCAGTGCCAGGGACGCAGGCACCTGGGAGGGATGACAAGGGGAAGACTGCACCCTTAAAGCTGCCCATCACGCAGCCGTCCTGCTTGGGCTCAACTGGCGACTTGGGGAATGCTCTGAACAGATCTACACGACACATCCATGGAGGGTTCCCACAGGAGGAACCCATGCGGCTCCCCGGCCAGGCTGTGCCGCCCACTGCCTGAGAAGACACACCCAGTCCCTGCCGCACCTCTCCCGCTCCGCATGCTCTGCACAACCGCAGCGGCTTGCTCTAGGACAGAGGGGACATCCTTGCCTGGGCTTTGTCACCAAGGAACCCTCAGCAGCAGCCCTTTGGGAGCCCACAGAAATGATTCTGACGCAGACGCAGCGGCCCTCCTGACGCCAGGCGCCAGGGGCAGATATGTTCACTGCAAACGCATCGTGTGGAGGGCACCGTGCCCGCGGGCAGCACTCTGGGAGCACTGGCCTCCAAAAGAACAGTGGAGTGGCGTGGCGCAGCCTCTCTGCATCTCCACTCCAGCCCGGCGCTGCATGAGAAGGCCGTGCAGACCGGCCCACGGGCGGCAGGCTAGGTCTTGCTGCACTGGAGGACCGCAGCAGCAGAGCCGTGGCCACCTTGGAACTTGAGACTCTGCAGGTTGATGTGAGCCCCGTGCCTGAGCAGCGTCTCCACGGTGCATGCGTGGTGGCCCTGGGCGGCCAGGTGCAGCGCGCTCAGTCCCTGGGCATCAGGCAGGTCAATGAGGTCGGCACTCACTAGCGCCTCCACCACCTCCGAGTGCCCGTGGGCAGCAGCCAGATGCAGCGCCGTCTGGTGCAGCGGCCCTCGGGCGAGCACATTGGCCTTGGCCTCCAGCAGCAGCCTGACGGTGGCCAGGTGTCCGCTGCGGGCCGCCAGGTGCAGGGCAGTGCAGCCCTCGGCGGTCACCGCCTCCTTGCCCGCACCCCGGTGCAGGAGCAGCCTGGCGGTGCTGGTGTGCCCAGTCTCCGCGGCGACGTGCAGGGGCGTCAGTGCCTGCAGGCTGCGGACGTTGACGTCAGAGCACAGGTCGATGAGGACTCGGGCCACGCGGTAGTGTCCCCGCTGCGCGGCCAGGTGCAGCGGCGTCCTGCCATCCAGTGTCTGCGCATTGACGCTCGCGCCCGGCTGCCTCGCCAGCAGCTTGACAATGGCCAGGTGGCCCTGCCAGGCAGCGTAGTGCAGCGGCACCCAGGCGTCCTTCCCCTGCAGGCCCACGTCGACGCCACGGCGGAGCAGGATGCGCACAATGTTCTCCTGGCCATGCTGGCAGGCCACGTGCATGGGCGTGCGGCCCTCGAAGTCCACCTCATGCACAGACGCGTTTCTCTCCAGCAGCAGCCGCGTGCTGGACTCGTCTCCGTTCTGCGCTGCAAAGTGCAGGGCCGTCCACTGGTCCTCATCTTTGGTGTTGACGCTGCTCTTCCGGGCCAGGAGCAGCTCCACCACAGCCCGCGCCCTGCGCTCCACGGCAACGTGCAGTGGGGTGGAGCCCTTCCGGTTGGTCAGGTTGGGGTTGGCGTTGTTGAGCAGCAGCCACTTGACGCACTCCTCCTGCCCGGCCTCCACCGCCAGGTGTAGCAGGCTGGCGCTGCCATCCACGACCAGGTCCACATCCTGCGGCTGAAGGATCTTCATCAGCCTGCTGGTGTCCCCCGACACGATGGCATCCACCAGCTTTTTCTTCTGCACATCCGTGGTGCCCAGATCTGCAGGGAGAGGAGAGGCAAGGTCAGACAAGGTCGCCCGGGGGTCACTGGTTCCCGAGGCCCGGCTGGCAGTGTGAGGTGGCTGCGCCTGCCCGGACCCTGGGCAGGGACACTCAGGGTGTGCCAGCCCCAGGCCGCTGCTCACCACAGGCCCCAAAGCGCCGGGCCACTCATTTCAATGCATCTGGGGGAGCTCTGGGGCATGACTGACATTTGAGGTGCTCTTCTGTCAGTTTGCAAAATAAAAATCATAGCTGGTGTTCCATGGGGTTGGAACTCGGTCAGGGATACAAAATGCAGAGACCCCCGTGTGCGGAAATGGTGATTGCTAACGTCCCTTCATTTATAAAGAAAATGGTGAAAAGCCCTGCCAGCAGCCCACCTGCCTGCCTGCCCGCTCATGGCCCGGACCTGCACCCGGAACCAGGAGGGGCCGTCCAGCACCTCCCTCCCGGGACAGAACGGGGTGCTTTCTAGCATGAGCCCCAGAGGATGGGACACAGGAGCGGGGCCGCACTGCCTGGCGCCCTGACCACAGGTGGGAAACTGCCGAGTGGACAGGGTGTGAAGGGCACAGAGCCGCCGGTGAGAGAGGCCAGCAAGGAAGGGATCCTCTCTAGAAGAGGGAAGGCTCTAGAACCCTCTGCTCTGTGCAGGCTTCCCAGCCTCCTTCAGCTCGGCCCGGCTGTGCTCCCCATGGCAAGCTCCAGCCGGACTGCTCTCCCCAGCTGTCCGCTGGGCCTCTCCTCCCCAGCAATGTCCCCCTTCGCCCCCCATGTCCTACCCAGAATGTCCCAGCAGGAGGACCCCGACCCACCACACACCCCGCCAAGACCACAGCCTGTCTGGGGCCGCCAGCACCAGCCTCCCTGCGTGCAGCCGGGTGGAAATGCCGTGCGCCCCATGCAGCCTCAGCTCTGGGACATGGCAGGGCCGGTGCCGCCCCAGGCTGCAGTGGGAGCCAGAGCAGCGCCCAGGGGCTGGGACAGGGAAAACCGCATGCTGAGAACACCCACCAAAGTGGACACAAGGACAGGACAGGCTGTGGCCAGGGTTAGGGTCCCACGGTTCACCAACGGCCAGGTTCCAGCACCCTGCAGACAACCCAGCCAGCAGGACACAGGCATCACAGAGGGGGAGGCCGAGGTGTACCCCGCACTGCCTGAGAACGGGGTGTGGGGCTGCTGGGCCTCCCGGGTGGGACCCAGGGCTTTCCACCTGCAGACCTGAGGCTGACGCAGGGCCTGGCACAGATCTCTGAGGACTGCTCCCCTCCCACCAAGCGTCAAGAGACAGCTACACAGCCGTCTCTGATTCCAGCACAATAACCATGCTACCGAACCCCCAAACAACCCAGCTAAAGGGAAAACAGGAATCATCTGGGCAGGCTGCTCAGACTCCAACACACACCGCCAGCCAGGCTGTCCCCGACCCAGGGTCTCCCAGGACGCAGAGGGCTGCTCACCACTCGCAGATGGCTCCCGCTCGAAGGACAGCGACAGTGACCCTCGGGAAGAGAAGGCAGAGTCCACTGATGACACGCCCGAGAGCCTCTTGCCGCTGCTGGACGACTGGAGCTTGTGCTCGGAGGAGCTGCGGCTGAGCTCCTCTGGGCCCTCGAGGGTCTGCGAGATGCCCGAGTCCAGCTGCGACAGGAGCTCCGAGAGGCTGCAGTCGTTGTCGAAGGGTGGGGCGGAGGCGCGCTTGAGCCGAGCAGCTCCAGGCACAGCCTGTGGGACAGACAGCAAGGGTGAGGTCTGGGGGAGGGCGGGGCCGTGGGCACGTGGAGATCGGCCACCTCAGGCGCCGCTGCAGGGCATGACGGCCAGGCCAGCAGCAGCGAGAAGAAGCTGCAGGGCAGAAGGGGCACCGGACCCCGACCACGGAGGACAGCAGAGAAGCCACGGAAGACGGCATCGGGCTGGGTACCCCCTCCTCCGGGCCGGGCCGAGGGGCTGGTCTAGGCCCAGCCATGGGACACCATGGTGACCGACCCAGCGCCAGCGTCCGGCCGTGACTCAGTTCTTCCAGGTGCTGTCCCTCTGCCCCTCACCCTCCCCTTGGCAACTGGCTCTGTCTGTTGGCCGGGGCCTTTGCCCGACCGCGGCTCAGGTGCACCTGTCTGTCGTGTCCTTCTGCACCCCTGCCGGCTCTCACGCCCAGAGCCCCCTTCGTTCAGGGGTGCCGCACACACCCTGACCTACCCCCCGGGAGACACTGCCCCGGCCAGACACTGTGTGTCATGGCGGCAGCGCACCAGGCCCCAGTCATGCCGCCAGCCCTGCAGCCCGGCGCCTCTGAAACCACCTCGCACAACAGACCGCGCAGACGCAACTGCCAGGGTCCAGGTGCCCAGCTGGGGACGCAGAGGGCCTGGCCAGCTTCCATGGCACTGGGGGCGGCCGCGTGCAGGACAGCTGGGCAGGCTGCCCGGGCGTGCAGGACGGAGCCGTCCGACACTCCACAGCCAGACCCAGGGCCCTCACCTCGCTCTTGGGCTCCGGGGTGCTCTCCCCGCCCGGGTCTCGGGGCGTCTCCTTGACCTCCTCCTCGGGCTTCTCACACAGGTCCTCGGTTTCAGAGGTGATTTCTACGGGCAGAAAACAGGTGTCCTCAAGTGAGAACCTGGCCCGTCCCACATGGACAGACAGAGCCTCTGAGCAGCGGATGGCAGGCAAGCGGGGCACTGCCAGCTCTGCAATTTCTCACGCCTCAGGGTCCCCCTACGATTCAGTGTCTGAACACTCACAGCAGGGGCCCCTGGGGATCCCCAGTGATGCCCAAGAGGGTGCCCAGCAGGGCGCGTGAGCCCCACTTTGTGCTGCTGCTGTGTGTTTTAAACACAATAACCGTGTTGGATTCCATCTTCCCCATCTGGGACACTTTGGCTCCGAGGACCAGAGCTGGAGGAGGGAGGCCCAGGCCAGAGGCGGTGGGTCTCTTAGGAGAACCCCTGGGGCACTCACGGGCCACGGCCCCACTCCAGGCTGGCGTCAGCGCTGGGACCCGGGCCTGCAGGGCTCACCTTGGAAGCTGGGCCGTTCCTGCGGGTCTTCGTGCCAGCACCGCTGCATGAGGCGCAGGAGGGTGGCACAGGCGCGCGGCCGGGGCCTGCAGACGGGCGGCAGCTCGGGGCGGTGGCCCTTCACCACCTTCACCATGATGTGCAGGATGTTCTTCTCGTCTGTGGGAGAGGCGCCGTCAGGACACTGTGTCAGAGGAGAGGGGCGTGGGGACCCCGTCCTCCCAGGGCAGCCTGGGTTCCCTTCAGCCTGGAGCCCAGGGCACAGCGCGCTGCCCACCACCCATCTCTACCCACAGGCGCGGGCACTGTCTGGGTCACAGCCTCCACCCGGGTGGGAAGGGCCAAGGTGAGCCCAGGGGCCAGGTGCTTGGCTCTGCTTGGCCTCCACCATGCCGCCCACCCGGCTGGACGTCACACCCTTCCTAGGTGCAGGCGCCAACAGGGGTCCACACTGACATTCGCCCCACTGCCCCGGCATCTGCAGGTTATTCCCGTGGTAACCAACACTTCCAAGCCAGAAAGGCCCTCTAAATAAAAACGAAAGCCAGGTAAACACCACCAAAAGGCCCAGCAGAGATGGCCTGTGCTCCACACCCAGCTGCTCTGCTCCAGGAGGCCGCCAGCCTCCTGCACAGCACCAGGCTGTGGTGTGAAGACCCCAGACACGCTGGTGCCCACTTGGCAGGAGGCCGTGCAAAAAGGATTCACACCGTGGACTTCTGGGGTGGGGGAAGAGTGGCGGTGGGAAGACAGGCCGCACGATGACGAGGCCTCAGGGAGGGAGGTTGGGACGCCCACTCCCTCAGCTCCAGACACCCTAGGCCTTGCCATGCTTGGAGGGTCCCTTCCTGCCCGGCACATCAAGCACATGTTGCTGCCACGCAATGGCTCCCAGGCCTGAGGGCCACGCACTCTTTTGGAGTTTCTGCCCTGGGGACTGAGCCCAGGGCCTCATGCATGCTAGGCAAGGTCTCAATCCTTAAACATCTGTCAGAGCACACGATGTGAGCACGCAGAAACACCAAGAGAGGGTCGGAGTCTCTCTCCGAGCCCCCAAAGCTACTCAGCCTTCACAATAAACCAAGTCCAGGTGCCTGCCCCGCTCCGAGGACAAATCAGAGCTGCCTGGGGAGAGGCTGGGCTACGTCAGGTGAACCACGGAACACCCTGACTCACACTGAGACACAGTCGCTGTGGGGAATTTTGTCCCATCTATGTTTCTGATTTTAAAAAAAGAGAAAAAGAATTAGCTGGAAAACCCTAGAAGAGGTAAAGCCACAGACAGAGCAGATTCAAGGCTGGAGGGGGATGGGAAGCGGCCACTCAGGCCTGGGCTTCCTGCTGGGGGCGAGAATGTTCTGGAACCAGATGGTGGTGAGTGTGCTGAATGCCGCAGAATCGCAAGCTTTATTTTATTTATTTATGTATTTATCTCTGGAGACAAGAGTCTCGCTTTGTAGTTCAGGCTGACCCTGAACCTGAACTCACTATGCACTCCAGGCTGGCCTCAAACTCCTGACCATCCTCCTGCATCAGCCTCCTGAGGGCCAGTATTATAGGCATGCACCACACCTGGCTATTTTTTCCTTTTTGGGTTTTTTAAAAAATATTTTTTTCTCTTTTGTGCTTCTTTGAGGAATTTTACACTTCAAATAGCAAAATGATACATGCATTTTACCACCAGGGGGGAAAGTGGCCCCTAACAGACTCCTCCAGGCCCCCGTGTCCTCCCGGGTGGAAATCGCACTGTGCCGGCGCCTTGCTGGCCTGCGGCTGGGCCTGCAGGGAGGTGGCCGTGGACCCTGGCATAGGGAGAGGCCAACGTGGAACAGAGCAGGCCCCTTCCTGGGGACACCGCAGCCACAGGGAGCGTGGCCAAGGCTGGGAGGCCGTGCACTCACTCACCTGCAAAGGGTTTCTTCTGCGTCAGCACGCCCCAGATGACGATGGCGAAGCTGCAAGGGAACCAGCGTGTGTGTGAGAACCGGGCCAGAGCACGAACTCACGTCACCGCCACAACAAAGCCAGGGCCCAGAGGCCCTGAGCACCCGAGGGGACACGCTCCCCAACGAGGCCAGCACAGCAGCCACGCAGGTCCCACCCCCTGGCTCCCGGGAGACGGCCTGGCCCCCCACTCCTCCCTGGCGGGGCTCAGAGACCCTGGGCCAGCCTCTGACCAAGCCCTGGTCCTGCCCTGTGCTCCCTGGGGTCACCAGGGGCCAAGGAAGGGAGCAGCCCAGCCGCGCGCCCTCTCCGCCGCAGGGCGGGGGGACATACACAAAGCACACATTTATGTCCGGTGAGTAAGATACACAGAAAAAACACCGCCACCTGATAATTTTTTTTAAAAGAGCCCAGAAACCATGTCCCAGCCCTGGCTTCTCAGTGGTTGTTCCCAGAGCCACAGAATTCACACTGAGAATTCTCTGAACTCTGCAGGCTCAGAAGCTGGAACTCCGCTACAAGCAGCATCATACTCTTCCCCGCTGCAAGCTGGGGCTTGTCCCCAGGGCCGCCCCCAGCTGAAAGGCGAGCTCAGCACGTGACAATGGCTACTGCCAAACCAGTCGGCCGGGCGAGTGGCAGATGACAGAACGTCGGCCGGATGCTCTGGGGCCAGGTCAGCCCTGCGTGGGCCAGGGCGCAGCGGCAAGAGCAGCCCGCATGCCCCCTCCTCCGGCAGGCCTGTGTGATTCAGGCCTTTGCCATCTGGAAAGGGAAGGGACCTGAGGCCCCAGGCCCTGCTCTCCGAGCTCACAGGTCCTGCCAATTTCCTGGCATGTGGAAGCTGCTCACGTAGCAACCCACACACTCACGGATCCGTGGGGGTTTCCAACAGACGGGCAATAAAGCCCACATTACATGAAAACAGCAAAGCAAGCGTGGTGCAGTGTTGAGCAGTTTATATAACCAGCCCCGCCCAGAGCAAGCAGGCCTTTTGCTGCCCCTCGGTATAGCCCACCCCAACTGGCAGGCCCCTCTCCGGTCACCCACCTGTACACATCGTGCTTGGTGTCAAAGAGCCGACTCTTCTCCCGGATGCGCTCGGGAGGGAGGTAGGCGATGGTGCCGAACAGGCCGTCCATGCTGAGGTCGTGGGAGTGGGACAGCCCTGTGCACTTGGCCAGCCCAAAATCGGAAATCTGCAACACGGTGGAGGGAGGCACCTTAGCCTGAGAGGCCACGCGGGCGCCGGGCTGACTCCCCCAAGCCCCTGGGCTCTCTGTGCAGCCAGAAGAGCTGAGTAAATCAAGAGTGTACAGGAGAGGCACACAGGCCGAATGCAGACAGCCATCCCGGCACAGGGGGAGGAAAGCAGCCTTGGCCTGGGCCACAGGAGGAGACAGTGCTAGCCCGGAGGCTGGTTACGCAAGCCCCCAGCTGGCTGGGCAAGTGGCAGCAAGCCCTTTAAAGGGCAGCAACCTTCAGAAGCCTTGGCAAACAGCACACACACCTCGCCGCCTCGGGCGTGGTCCACTCTGCCCTGCCCCATGTTTTGTGACCAGCAGACACTGGCTGGCTCCTTCTTCAAACACAGGGCAACCTCCTGAGGCAGTGCCCGGGCTCTGGTGCCCCCGGCCACCTCCCACGTATCGGGGGGTGGGTTCCTTGTGGCCAAAGTGTCTGCAGCCGGGCTGGGGACACCGAGACCCCTCTGGGAAGTGCCCCTTCCCACCCTGGATGCTCTGAGCATGGATGAAGCCCAGCCCTGGGCGCTCATGGGACTCCTGGCCGGTGGGCAAGTGGCCCCTTGCCTTCTCCAGTCATAGGTGTGTGAGCCCCGCATTCCCTCCTGGGCTCCCCAGGAACAGCGGAGTCAGGAGCGACTTCCAGGCTGGGCGACCGACCCCATAAGGGAGCACAGGACCTGGTGCTGCCACTGCCGCTGGCTCAGGCACTCAGCCTGCCGGGGCTCCGAGCTCACCCACCGAGGGCAGGAGGGCCCCGGGGTCAGGCCCACCCCTGGCCTCCACACTCGGGCTGGCAGAGCAGGCTCTAGGCCTCACCAAGCCCAGGCACCAGTTCTGGGTTCCCTGGTTCTGCTGGTTCCGCAGAGGCCTTGGGGAGGCAACTGTCCAGTCCCCAGGGTGAGGCCACTGCCGTCCCGCAGTCCACAGAGAAGCAGCAGCTGCAACCTTAAGAGCAAGCTCAGGAGCACAGGAAGTTACAGTCTGACAAGTGCCAGCCACCCGAAGCGTTTTAAATCCACAAACAGCGATAGGCTTGGACCTGGGGACTTGGGGCCGGGCTTCCCCTGCCACGTGTGAGCCCTCCCGTCAGCCACGGTGACCCTCTGGAACCCACTCAGACAACGCCTGGAGTCACCAGGCACCAGGAGCCCAGAGCCCAAGAGGCCTCGTCCCTCGAGCCCATGCTCAGCAGCACAGCAACTCCGGGGCTCTGATGCCCATTGACCCCTCTCACTCTGCCGCCTGACTCAGTATCCCCGAGATCTCATGGGGACCCCCAAGTTGCGGTGCTGCAGAAGCAGGAACAGAGGGGCAAGGCGCATCAAGGGCCCTGTTGTCACCTTACAAAGGAAGTCAGCAGGCAGGCGGGCGGGCGGACGGATGGGCTGCACACACGAACGGAGACTGCCAGTTCATGTTCAACTTGAGTCACCTCTGAGCCCACTGCAGGCTGGGCACCAGAGGCTGAACCCAGGGCCTCCAAACCAAGCTGCACCCCAGCATGTTTTCTGTATTTAGTTGGGTAATCTGGTGTGGGGCTGAAGCCGGGCCCGCAGTGCACGCTCGGCAAGGGCTCCACTGCTGTGCTGCACCCGCAGCCACCCTTTTTCAATTCTGGGACAGGGGCGGCCTTAATTGCTGAATTGCCCAGGCTGGGCCTGAACTTGTGATCCTCCTGTCTCAGCCTCCCAGAGCACTGGGATTCCAGGCCTGCGCCAACTTAAAATACAGATTTTGGGCCGGGGATTTAGCTCATTGGTTTCACCGCCTGCTCCACAAGCGCAAGGACCTGAGTTCGATCCCCCGTACCAGAAAATAAAAAAAATTTTAAAAATAAAAGCCGGATTTTAACGAGGCTACGGGTTGTCTCTGACACACAGTGATGAGGTAGCAACCTAATGTCTCATACATTTACAACACTTGGCAGAGCAGCCGGGTGGGTGAAATTTCAGCTCTAAGCACACCCTGTGCCTGTGCGGAAAGGCATGAAGCCCTGGGGCCATCTGGCCTCGACTGCTCCAAGTTAAGTGCTCCCCGAAAACTGTCCCCCAGAAGAGGGGCATCGCTGGCTCTGCACACCTGCAGCTGTTTCTATGGCACTCATCAGAGGTGCACGCTCACTTTACTGTTTGTTTTCGGGCTTCTCGGTACTGACTCAGAAGGGTGTCAGGCGACTCAACCTTCCAGGGTCTGCTCACGGCGGCTCAGGCCGGGGGCCTCCCAAGGCAGAGGTCACTTCCTGCCTGGGGAGCCCCTTCCCAGCCACTTGGCCCAGAATAGCGACCAAGCCAGACCTTCACAGCCAAGGACCTGGCGTGAACAGCAGGCTCCTCACCAAGGCAGTCTAAGCGCCCACTGTGCACCAGGGCCAGGGAGACATCTAGCTGAGCACCATGGCCCCGGCCCGGAGAAGAGGCGCCCCCTGCACAGCGCCAGGCAGAGGGTGGCCCGTGTCCTCCAAGGAGCGTCCACTCGGCCTGCCGCACTTCCCCGCGCCGGCCTGGAGAAGCAGGGAGACCCGTGGCTGTGCTTGGCTGCGTCTCCCACCCATACACCCTGCGCCCCCTGCCGCTGGCCGCCTGTGCATTTCCTGGACACGGTGTCTGTGGGGCCCCGAAGGCTACAGCTGGTCTCAGCCTCTCTCCCTGCGCCCCGGCTAGATGCTGGCACCACCGATCTGACCCCTCAACCCCTCAGCTAGGTCAGTGCCACCATCCACGCCAGGACGAGGTGGCTCTGCAGGTGATGCAGAGCCGTGCAGGGACCCGGTTTCTATCCTGGTAGAAAAGTGCGTGTCTCAGTGCAAAGCGCTGGACAGTCGCTGGCCACACTGGGCTGCCCAGGGAGAACTGACCCAAGTTCTGTGACCACAGGAGCCCGGGCAGTGAGCAGATGTGGGAGACCATGGAAGCTCACGCCCTGTCGCCTAATGTGTCTCCGGTACCCCAACCCCCCACTTCACCCCTGGGGCAGAAAGTCCGCCGCCTTGCCAGAATCTTACGACGTGCAAACCTGAAACTATAGTCCTGAGAGAGAACCGGTTTCCGCACCCGGATGCATCCAGGTGCAGGGGCATCCACACACCATCGCCCACCAGGCCACCCAGGGCTGAGGGGCAGGGTGGCCAGAAGTGACCACGCACGCCCTCCCTGGGAGCCCACGGGCCCCACCTTGACGTGGTAGTGTGCATCCAGCAGGATGTTGGCAGGCTTCAGGTCCAGGTGCAGCAGCGGCGGGGACATGCAGTGCAGGAAATTCATGCCCACGGCAGTCTCATGCACGATGCGGAAGCGCAGATCCCATGGCAGTGGCTCCGAGGCCAGCAGCTTCTCCAGGGAGCCTGTCTCCATGTGCTCCATGACCAGCCCCACGGGCTCCCGGCAGATGCCGTACACCGGCAGGATGTAGCGGAACTTGGCCATCTCCATCTTCTTTGCCTCCTCCAGAAGCTCCAGGCGCTCCCTGTAAGAGTTCAAAGATGGGAGGGTGTGCAATGCTCAGGTGCACATACACAGCTCGCGTGCACCCAGGGCTCCCCTGATGCCCCGAAGCTAAAACTGGGCCTTCCAGAGTCTGCCGTCCAAGGTTTCCGAACCCCCTGAATGTGGGGTGATGATTTCCACACCAGCAGCCCAGCCAGGCCAATGGCTGGGGCAACTGCCACGGGTGTGGGGGGGTCCCAAGCTGCAGCTGGTCCCCATCGGCGGGACCCCCTGCCTTCTCCCCACAAGCCTCGCATGCCCACTGGTCCAGTCAGCTGTTTTCTAGGACCGCAAAACACACATGACAGAGCATGTGTCACTTTAGCCATCAGACGAGTGCAGGCAATGGCTCACACACTGCACTCCCGACGGCCCAGGGCATTACCACTATCTCCACCCAGGCAGGCCGTTCCACCTCCCCCCCCCCCCCCCCCCCCACCACCCTACTACGGCCTGCAAATGCCCACACCGGAATCTTATTGCTAGGTGCACTCTGACATCTTCTGTTCCGGACGGCTAATTCACTAAGCGTGTCTTCAAGGCCTGCTGTGTCAGCACCTACCCTAACCCAGCCACTCGCGTGGCTGAGCAAAACCC